GGGGAGCCCCAGCCCTCCGAACCCCTTGCACGGCTCCTTCAGAAGCAGCCCGGCTCTCCCCTGCTAGACCCGGGGATGGATTTGCTGTTTCTTACCATTAGGAGCAATGCCTTAGCTCTGAGCACAGCTGGGTTGGAACACTGCTGCAGAGAAACGTTTTTATCAGGGACAATAAAGAGTCGATTTCCACCTGGAAATTGCCCAATTTGACTTGTGAACCTTGAAAAGCAGCCTATCGCATCCCAATCCTCAGAGCAATTTAGTCTCTGTTGGAGCTAGGAGCCCATTGCCGAGGCACTGGCTTTCCACCTGTCAGGAGATCAAAACAAGCGTTTTATTCACTCCTTTCCAGCTCTATCAAATGGGCTGCATCAAAGTTGTGAATCAGGTGCTCTACATCACAAGTGCGTCAGCTGTCCTTCCTCTAATCCATGTCCACAGGCTCTGTGTCACCTTCTTCCTTCTCTCTTGGTCATCACCAATTCTTTCCCCTCCAGCAGCTTCATAGTCCCTTTCTTCTTCATCTTGGTTGCCAGGGTCCAGCTCTCTGCCTGGCTCAGATGTCACTTTGCTTCTTGCCCACCATTTCCCTTCCCAGTGCTGTACCTAATGTGCTCTTTTGCTTCTCTGTGTCCCACCTCTGCTAGCCCCATTGAGGCTGTCATGTCCCACCACCCTCCTCTCCTGTCCCACACTGAGACCTGCCTCATCCACACCACCCCTCTGCCCTTTCCAACCCCCCAGCCACCTCATCTGATGCTCCTGCCACAGCAACCTGTCCCAGGACTGGTGAAGGCTTTGTTATACCCCAGGGATGAACAGCCCCTCACTGCATGCCGGTGCTGTACCCAAGACAGGAGCAGCGATGTGGAGATGGGCTTGAGTGTTGGCCAGAGCAAAACTGCTTTCTGCAATCATGTCTGCGGGGCTGATGAAAGCAATTCCTTCTCCCATTGAGCTGTGTTTCACCCTGTGGCGCTCAGGGCTGGGACATGTCAGGTGTTCATGCTTCTGTGTGGGCTCCTGGGACTGAGAGAGGGCTTGGTCTGCCCCTGCCAGACACAATGCCTTTCCTTCATCCTCCTTCATCCATTACCTTTCCAAAATGACAACTTCCCTCCTTGCGATGCTCTGCCTTTGCTTTTCAGCAGCCTTTGCAAGCTGGTTTTCTCTTGAGCAGAATCGCAAGCTTGGATGTCCAGAGGCAGAGGTACTGTCTCCTGGCAGGACTTGGGCCTCTGGTTAGAAACCCTAAAGCACCTCCTGAGAGCTTCTAGGAAGGTCTGGACTCTGGGAAGGGTGCTTGACATATCTCATATGCTTTCCTGCTCTGTCAGGAGCAGGCCCACCTCTGTCCCAGGAATATGGCAGCTGTACCTGGCTGTGATGCTGCGTCACATCAGCTGTATCAAGAACAGGCATTCACACTGTCCCCTGCCCTCGGACCAGCCAGGGCATGGCAGTGCAGGAGGGCACCGTTCCCTGAGGGCCCCAACTTCCCCAGGTGCTATCCTGAAGGGAAAAGCCATTGGTCGGGGTGGGCTAACCTCACTCAGGAGTCTGAGGACATGCATCTCAGCTGCAACCTGCTAATGAGCCCGGGAAACAAGGCAGAGTGTTTGCCTGACAGGGCAATTAAATGATGATTGATTCCTGGAACAGCTACTTAATTCATCATTAACGGGCTTATCATAGCTGGCATCTGTGCCAAGGGTCCCTCTGAGAACTGCCCCAGGGGATGTGGTATGGAGGTGAGATCTGTGAAACACAAAGCTATATTTGCTACCTCTTTATTTTCATGCCTTATTTTGGCTCCTTTTACCCAGTACTCGCCATGAGAAGCTGAGTACACAACACAGCTGTGCATTTCTCACTCTGCTGGGGACCACTGCAACCAGCCTGGGGAGCATGAGGGTCCCTGCCTGGCCAGCTGGTTACAGGAGCAGCCATGCAGAGGGGGAGGCACTTCAGTAGGGAGCCTGCAGCTCACAGTCGTCAGTAGAGCTGCAGCAATGGTTCGGTTCAACAAGGGCACTGAAGTTTGCCTCTTCCCAGGTGTACCCTCCCCTGGGCTCATGTTGTGCATGTATGCTTGTATGTGCGCACCCTCCCTGTGCACCTAGCAGCATCTCACCACCATTACCTGCTGCCAGTCCTGCCCAGACAAGCCCCATGGGGCTGATGGATATGCACGTTATCCAGTGTTGCTGATAATGAGGTCAGAGAATGGCCACTCTTTGCCAATTTTGTCTTTTATGGCTTCCTTGCTTTCATCTGCTGACTTCATTCCTTTCCTTTCCCCAAGCTTGGTTATTAACAAGCTGTCTTTATTACCAGGCTTACTTTATTACTAGGCTTACTTTATTAAGTCCCTGTGCAGCTAAATTCACTGTAGGATCCAAATAACCCAAAAGGGGTTTGGGGACAACTGCAGGGCTGGTGTAGCTCTTTCCTTCCCTGAATGTGTGCATGCAGGGCTGGTCCTCGCCCTTTCTGCCATTCCCTCTCTAATTTTATCTCTAGGGGTCTGATGGCCCTAGTCTATACCTATAAATCCAAATCATTTGGTGCACTGTCTCTATGCGACGTGCTGATCTTGGTGACTAAGGAGTGGGATGGAACTCTAATCCCTCTGACACTGGGACTCTTCACATCAGCTATTGGAGAAGAAGGTTTCAGCCTGGCTGCTTTCCAACAGGGACACACTACAGAGCACTGCTATTATAGGCATTTGTGATGTTGGCCCTCAGTGTCCCCTCTCCACTGCTGACAAATGCCAGGTCTGGGCACCAGAGCTGCACTTAGTGGTCCTTTTGCCTATTTATCAGAAGCACGGTGAGATCTTCTGTATTTTCCCCTTGTTCTTGCAGTTCTGTTATTGCCCTATCCTGCTCCAAGGGAGAGCATCGGCCACAGCTCCCAAGGGTGGAAGGCAGCAAGGAAAAGAGAATTTAATACAGGTAAATCTTTTAGAATCCCAGAGGGTACAAGACTAGCATGGACTAAATCCCTTTAGCTGTAGCCCTGCCCCGTCCATGCTTTGTGCAGCAGCTCTGAGATCCTGGCCCTGCTCTAAGGACAGCCCTCAAAGGGCAGTTTGAGGAATCAAAGAGGTTTGGGCTCTCCCTCCTCCCCTGGGAGAAAGCCTTCAGCCCTGCCCAGCCCACATTCACAGAAACTTCCCCATGCTTCAGCAGTATTTTCCCGTGGTTTCTTTTGCTACCCACACTATTGCTCTTCTAAGGAATGTTCACCTTGCATTGTTCACTACCTGCAGACCCTCCCTGCCTCTTCCCCGCAGCCCAGGTCAGTAAGCCATCTCCCAGCTCAAAGTCAACTGAGTACATGTCCTGCAGCAATCCAGCTGCATAGATGCACTCATCCTCCACTGGTTCTCTGGCACCTCCCAAGCTGCCTTTTCGGTTTCCAATTCCTCCCAGCTCCTTTCCCTTCTTCCTCCCCCACATGCTGTTTCCCAGCACTAGCTGCTGTGAATGTGTGGCTTTCCCACACAGCTCTCCCCTTCCTCTAACCTGCTGCAGAAGACCCAAAGCAAGAAGCGCAGCAGCTTCCACACAGGCAGCACCCACTGCCCGGTGGCCAGCAGCCTGCCTGCACTGCAGTCCATATGCTGGTGTTTCTCAGCACATTTGGAGCCAGCTCCCTTCAGCAGCTCGCAGCAAGATTCCATTCCTCCCTACCCTAACCTGCTGTCAGAAGCATTTCTTGAGATGAGGCATGGATGCTGTACCAAAACTGTCAACTTTCTCTTACTAGTGCTGGGCTTCTTCTTCTGCTTGGGCTGCTGCTCTCAAACAACACTCAGTGATTGGTCTCTTCTTACTGCTTTATTCAAAAGAAAGATATTTTATTAGAAACCTAATTTGCATGTTAAGGTAGGCAAAGAAGAGGATTGTGGTTTCCTTGCCTGAAAACGGGGATGAAGCTTTGAGCTTCTCTGGGTCTGTGCAGAAATAAAACCACCTTTGATACAAATATGCATCTCTCTTAAATATTTTCAAAATACTTAACAGCCATCTGCTGCACAAGCCATTACAGACTTTATTAGTAAGGTGGGAGACTGCAGAAGGCAGAGAATGGTTTTGGGGAGGGAGAAGTGGAGGGCATTCACCAAAACACACAGTTTTAGCAGAACAGCTCCATTTTCCATTACAGCTTTCCAAAATGTGATGACCACTGCCAGAACAAAGCCCATGGGCAGGTCCATTTAAAACCATGTATGGCCCCCAAACCTGCATGGTGTGGCAGAGTTTGGCCAAGGGACCACTTGAGCTTTTCACTCTCTGGGATCTTCAACTCCAGCTTCTTTACTTTTATTTCCTCCTTGAGGACAGATTTAAAGCCAAGGTGATGTGCTGCCTATCAGAAAGCCTAGTGCACCTTGGGGAATACTATAGCAGGAGGAAATGTGCCTCTGCTACACAGCATCCTGCAGAGGACTCTGACTGAGATCTCTAAGAAGGACAGGAACATTTGGGGTTGCAAGGCAATAAGGTGGCATGGTCTAGGAGCCGGGAAAGTGCTAGAGAGAGACCATAAAATGCAGGGCTCAGGTACTGAAGAGCACAAAGTAATTGTTTCTCTCTCCTAGGGAACACTGATATTTCACTGCACGTTTTCTTTGTGCCAAAGTGGGTTGGGAAGCCAAAATAGCAAATGGTCCTCTAAAGAAAAGGGGTGGAAATATTTAATCTCAGACATTTTCATGGGTAAAAAAAAAAAGCAGCACAAGGTTTTGACACTCTGAAATGGAGGAAGGGAGAGGGAGGTGAATTTCCCCAAGGAATAAACCCATGCTGACATTTGTAGCTGAGGATCCTATTTGGACTCAGAATTTTCTGAAGCTGGTGGCCCAGAGCCAAGGCTGTACTGCTGCTGCTGTACCCAAGGGTGGAGCTGGTTTAAACAGGGCTTTGATGTGATGGATCATTTACTTAGAATGTCATCATTTCAAAGTGGACCAAGCCCCCTGGGATCTCCCCTTTAATCTTGCATCTCTTCGTTCCTCCTCATGGCTGGCTGAGCATCCAACACTCCCACCCCAGCCTAAACACCACCTCCACGTCCTCACAGCAGCCCCCTGCCTTCCCTTGGCGGCTCACTGCTCTTGCCCCAGCTGCAGCTCAACCTTGGAGGAGCCCTAGAGAACCTCCCATCTATCTGAAAGTCAGTTAGGTGTATGTGTAATCTCCAGAGGGCTGTAACTCACCGTGCAACCCTCTGCTTTGGGAAGTCAGGGAGGCCTCTTGAGTGACTGTCAGTCTCTTAACTACTTCTGTGCTGTTTGTTAGGCAGCACACATTATGAACCAGCAGAAAAGATGCAGTAGGTCCTTTCCTGTCAGGCTGCACGTGGCCAACCCAAGATGCATTGTAGATACACCAAATCCTCATCTTAATCCAACCTGAATCAGATCATCTTGTTGCAGGGCTGCATCCTTATCTTACTACCAGCAGGGGAGAGACGAAGAGATGCTCTGTTTGCCGAGATAGCATTCAAGCTGTGCAGAGGTGGGGAGGACACTTGTTTTCTCCATTATTGCCAATATTTTCTGTTCCTACTAGCCTCATCTCAACATCGGCTCTGCATGGGTGAGAGGCTTTTCTGCTCCCTTGCCTTGATGTAATAACAGCCTCCTCCCTTCTACCGCCTCTGCTCCTGCAGGATCTCTTCCCCCTTACCACCAACAGCATGGAGAGTGTGCGTGAGATGCAAAACCCGCTCTTGGCCAAGGCCAACGGACACCTTCACAACAGCTATTCTTACCACCAGCATCACAGCCAGGACTACCCCAGTCATCACTGCCAAGGGAAACTGTATTCCTACATCTTCCAAAACGCTGGCAGTGCCAGGACTCACCAGCTGCTGGATGCCAGTTCCCTGCAGCTGGCTGTTGAAGCCTTGTACGGCCCCAGTTTCATCCTTGTGAAGGATGAGACCACTCTCAAGGCCAAGGACAGCAAAACAGAAAGCTGCGAAACCACTTTTACAGAAAGCAAAGAGGCTCCATCCGAAGCTCCTGAAAGGCACGAGGCACAAGGGTCCTGCCTGGTAGAGAGTGACATCCGCATCCAAACTGTGTCCTATGAGGTGGAGGAAGATGAGCTCCAGGAGTATGAGGTGAGCTTTGCCAGGTGGGATGGCACTAAACTCCTGTGGTAATTCTGAACATGGGCTCAAATTCTCAGTAATTTATTCTCCCATTTTTACCCAGAGCTCCCCCCACACCCTACCATCTCCTGCCTCATTAGTCTCCCTGAGCACCCAGTATTTCTTCTTTCTCCTTATCATTTCTGCTCCTTTTCCCTCAGTGCTGACCTCAGAAAGAGATCAGGTTCCCTAAGAGCAGCCTGCCTGCAGGCTGCTGGGAGCAAAGGGGAGGTGGATCTCTGCAGGACCCTTGGGATATGGGGACCCTTAGACAAGGGCAGCCTGCTGCTGCTGTGGCACTCGAGCTGAGGAGAAGCAGCAGTTCTTGCATAACAGCGAAATTCATATGCCTGATGGCAGCAGCTGAGAAAAAGCTTATATATAAAGACAGGATGAATCCTGCAAAGGAAGAATGAGAGCTAACAAAGCAGCCTCATTGCTGTGCTGTGCCCCACCATGGCTTGAGCAATGGTGCCAAGGCTAGGAACACTGTTCAGGACCTTGAGAGGTGGAAGTGGGTCCCCGGAGCCCACTGGAGCTGATGTCTGATGACCCAGCACAGCTCTGCTGCTTTTGGTGTTGATGATGTGGCCTCTTCAGATGGCATCAGGGGTGTCCCCACCTCTGCGTGCCTTTCCCACTGAGACAAATCACTTCTAGGGTGGTCTGAGGCTGGCCAAGTGGTGCCCAAAGGCAGGAGTGTTGACTGCAGCCACTGAGCAATGTACTTACTGGGGGGAGAGGGCATGTTGCCTCTGCAATGGAAGCTCCAATTCAACTGCTTTCCCTCACTTTGTAAATTAGTTTAGCAGGATATTGATCTCCTAGTCTCTAATGGGGATAAGGCACTTTGTTTAAATTTGTTTAAGCTGACAAACAGTCAGTTCTGCCAAAGCTGAAGATATTTCAGTTTAAGACTCTCTCTAATGCAGGGAAATCCCAGACCCCCAGCAAGTGAGCTCAGCATTTGCTCTGGCAGGGAGCCAAGAATCCATTCCACTTTTGAATTTGCTGAGCTACGTTGTTCTTCATCAAACCACGCTGAAGAGTCTAAAATATTTTTGAAATACTCCTTGAATTTGCTGGTGGGAATAATATGAAAATATGTGATAGGACCAGGAGAGAGCAGAAGCTGGGAGGTGAGGGGCTGAGATGCAGCTGACAGTGAGGCGCAGGGAGGTGGGCATGTGCTGAATTCATCTCGTTTTTCAGAGCGACTCCTCCAGCGACAGCGAAAGCGAGGATCATTTCCTGATGCTTCCCCCCAAGGACCACCTGGGTTTGGCCCTTTTCTCCATGCTGTGTTGCTTCTGGCCCCTGGGGATTGCTGCTTTCTACTTCTCCCAAGGGGTAAGAGATCTTGTTGCTTGCCTGTGCGTGCTGAGCGCTGGAGCAAGGGCCCTGCAAGCCACAGCAGCCCTGGAGGTGGCCAACACCTTTCTGGATCTAAGGCTCATCTCTGTGCCATGGCCATAACTCTCAGGGTTGACGCAAAGGGTGATGCTGGATGTCTCCACAGTTATTGCGGGGTTGCAAGCCCTCCAGCTCTGGTGTGGGTTACTGGGGGTCAGGCTTTTCCTTTGTGTCTTCTGGGTGTTATTTAGGGAACTGGAGTTGCTCTTGGCTCTTTGCCCAGCTTTTCACTCTGGCATTTTCCCACCTGTCCTCCCACTCTCCAGTAGTGCAGAGGTTCTACACCATGACCCAGATTGAGGCAGCTCATGTCACAGGAACCAGGCTGCTCTGGAGATTGGACACAAAGGAGATCCTGGTGTCCATATCACACTACAGCTCCTCTCTTGTGCTTGTTTCTGATGCACATTGGCTAAGCTGTGGGAGCCAATGCCAGGCTGGCAGAGGCTGGAGAGGGAGGTGAGCCTCTGGCTGCACCAGCTCAGAGGAGCTGCTGCCTTCTTGAGGGCTTAGCCCAGAGCCTGGGCTCACTTACTTAGTGTTGACCCAGAATAATTCATGCAGAGCTAGGGGATTTACTCCACATTTGCACAGATGCTTCTGTACAAAGAATAGGTGGGGGGAGGTATTAAGAAGTTAAATCAAGAGAATAGGAACAGAAATGGAAAAGTATATTATATGAGTGCCTGGCACAGAGGTGGTGAGAGGCAGGGGAAGCATTAATTGATTAGGACCCCAAGGAGCAGTTGATTTCACATTTTTCCATATGGTGCAATATAGCACGGTGCACTCTCCATGTGATGACGTACGTGGGGCAATTTATATCTAGCTCCATTTGCTATAACTACCCTTTTTGTTCACTCACTGAGGCAAGGACCACCTGTTTATTCGGTGTCTGTGCACAGGGATCTCCATTTGGCAACTTGAATACAAGTAGTAGGTAATACCAAGAGCACTTAGAATGTGCCCTGAGCACTTAGAGAAGCTGGAAGTTGCCATCACAGAGAACCAACGCCCACATCTGTCTCCACTGCTGGCTCCATCAGCCCTTCTATAGCAAATAGGCTTCAACCAAAAACCCCACGCATGAAAAACCAGGTGGCAGCAGAGCCAGACCAATGGACCACGCTGTCTGGAGTCAACTCCCTGAGACTAGGCAGTACTCAGTACATATCTGTACAGGGTATACTGGTATCTAGTCGGTGCCACACAGCCATCACCCCAAGCACCAACCATTTGCCTGCTTTTACGAGGGTCCAGCCTCCCGCTCACAGCTCTGGCTGAGTGCCCAGATGGGTGCTTTCAGACAAGCAGCTGAAGCCCACGCTTCCCTTGGAGGCAAAATCCACAGGGAAATGTGTGTAGGCGACACTGCTGTTCTGAGCCCTCCTGGACTGGCAAACACCGTGCTGTCTGTTCCCAGCTGCCAAGGGACAGAGTGACCAGGGAAGGGGGACTGACTCAGTAGTGAAACAGTTGCATGGTGAGTAAAAGGCCAGGTTGATACAGCTGTGAGCAACAAGCATTTCTTCTCCTTCCAGACCAGCAAGGCTGTCTCCAAAGGAGATTTCCATCTGGCCAGTTCAGCTTCCCGCCGAGCTCTCTTCCTTGCCGCGCTCTCCATAACCATCGGCACAGGAGTGTACATCGGGGTGGTGGTAGCACTGATTGCTTATCTCTCGAAAGGGGGCCATGTATAGCTGCCACCTGCATGTCACTGCCGTCCCTGGCCGGGGCCCTCCTGGGATTGAGCTTTCCTGTGGAGCACAGAGCACCAGTGCCTGCAAAGGTTGCTTGCACAGCCAGACCCCAGCATGGATGCACTATGGTTTTTTCTCCTTTCAGAGAAACAGTAAATCCCTGTTCTCTCCAAGGCTGCAGTGTGCCACCATCCAACAACAGGGAACTGAGAACCAGTCTGGCTGCTGGGACCAGGAGGAGCACAGTTGCCTGATGGAAGATGTGCAGGAGAGAAACTGCATGCTGCTGCTGGGCTGGTGCCACCACCCCTCATCTGGGGCCACAGCTTCCCTTCTCAGCCCTGTAGCTGGGAGAGCCATTGCTGGTGCCCAAGCTTGGCCCATGAAGAGGGCACACAGGGAGGAGAGGGGATATGGGCCCAGGGAATAACCGCTGTTTCTTCCAGGAGGCCCGAGTCCTGGTGGGGTCTCCAGACTCCTGTGATGGAGACAACATTCTCACTTCAGCACCATGGGGTGGCACCTGGCTCCTCAGATGCGGTGAAATAGGAGGACAGAGCATGAACAAGACCAAAGGGCATGCTCTACACATCCCTCTGCAGACAGATCCCTGATCCACAGGAGAAATCCCAGTTGCTGGCCCATCCCAGAAGCAAGGAGGAAGGCGGGCTGGTGGTTGCACATCTCTTCCATTCCTGGTGCAGGCTGGTAAAGACAGCAATGTTTTCTCCATGTTAAGAATGACTGTCATGATGATCCCAAGTCTGAGCCCCCATAAGGTTGCCATCCCAGAGTGCTGGGCCCTAAAGAGACTTGTAATTGATATTCTCTACCCAAGAAGTGACCTGGGAGGGGTGGGGGCCTGAAGGATTCTACTCTTGGCACTAGGTCAGGGCCCTGCACACAAGGAGGGATGGAAAGAAAAGGCTGACATGACATGCAGAGTCTGAGGTGGGAGTGCTGTTTGCAAGGGGATGAGATCCAGAGAAGGAAGAGATGTGGAGGGAGCCCAAGACACAGGGGATGACCCTAACACACTCCATCCATCCTAAAGCCTCTGCTGACAAGGAAATCCCCAGCATCCCCACACACATCTTACTTTTGCTTACTTGTATATTGTCAGAGACACGTTAAGTACTTCAGAGGTGGGTATGAAGGCAATGGCTGCCCCAAAAAGGCATTAAGAGGTTATGCCTCACCCCCTACTCCCCACCATCCACCTTGACCATCCCTCCTCTCCCTGGCCACGGCTCCCCTGTTGCCTCTTTCCCTCATGTGCAGGGGGCTGCAGGCAAAATCTGGGCACCCCTCACCCCCTCCCCTTTCTGGGCAGGCTGCAGCCAGCTTTGCAAGAGGCACAACATGTTCCTCCAGTTGGGTGCCATTCAAATGTACATTTCATACTAAAGAAGCATGTTAATGTCTGCAATTGCTGTTGTACTTGAGCCATAAAAGAGAGAAGCGCATCAGAGACCTGTACAGAAGCTGGTCTGAAAGTTCCCATTACGTTTTATAACATGGAAGAGCTAATAAAAAAAGCAGGAGAAAAGTCTCTCTTTATAAGAATGTGGAGCTGGCTAGCAAAGAGGTGAGCTTTGCAGGAGTGCCACGCTTACTTAAACCTGGAGGTGTTTATGCTGTTCCCAAAGGAAGTGTCTGGGCAACTTGGAGGGAGATGTATTTCAGTGTAGATCACAGTGAGCAACTAACACTGAGAGCGGGATGGTGGTGTAGGCTTTTTTCCCTGTGTGGAAGGGACGAGAATTAGGGAGAGAGAGACTGGAGCATTGTGTGTGTTCAGGCTACTGTGTGTATAGTAGAAGCATAAAATAAAATGTGCTTGAAGAGGGGCAAAAGAATACAAACGTAGGAGAGAACAAGCAGATCTTGCTTCTGATGGTGGACAGAGACAGAATTTGCAGGGAATGGCTGGGGTGTCCAAAAGAGATGAGGTGGCTTAGAGAGGAGTGATAAGGGGCAGACTCACCCAGCAGTTGAGTGACAGTTTTTATTGCCTAACGGTGGATATTTGGGAAGGGGGGATCCTTCAGGCCTCGTTTTAGTCCATAACCTGGAAGGAGTATGCCCTTCCACCCTCCCCCCGCCACGTGGCCCTGGGACCCCAAGACGGAGCACTCACCAGACCACCAGGGGAGAGAGGACGAAAGAGAGAGTTTAATTGTGGGAGGGGGCTTATATAGCCCTTGGGGACCAATCACAGGTGAGGGGTCACAATCAAGGTGAGGGGTTCACAGCCAATAAGGGAGGGGTTAACAAGGGACCAATGGAAACACCTTGGGACATCTTCCCAGGACACTCTGGCCCGAGAGATAAGGGATTTACAGTGGAGGTATAGGGGAAAACGCAGTGGCTCTGTAAAGAGCCCTCTTAACATGAGTTTAGACAACATTAAAAACTTCTGCTTCATCAGTCCACCTTTGGCAGGACTCCTTCCAAACATCCATTGCTACAATTGCCCTGTCCTGCATGTGCTCAGTCATCCTGGATGTCCATCCCTCCAAATAACCAAGCAGGACAAGAGCACTGTTTCAGAGAGGGGAAGTCTGTGGGTGCCCATGCAGCCAGGGCGACCAGCCCCACAAGCCCCAGCTCATTGCTGTCCCAACTAAAGCCCTCCTTGTCTATCCCCTTCAAGCACCCCTAGCTGGTGGGCAGGGGTGGAGGCTTCCCACCAATTCTGGTCCAGACAAAATCATTGGGGCTGCTAGACCAAAATCTACAATAAGAAATTGCATTTACCTCTGCATTTGTAATTCTTCCAGCTGGATTCCTCCAGGGCTGCCATGGGTGGGGGTGGGGCCAGCAGCCCCCAGCCCACTCCCTATGGGCAGCCCATGCCCCTGCCCCTCAAATTGCTTCTTTGACTTTTTTTAATTGGAGATGCCTGGGGAAGGACCAGGCCAAAGGGCCAACAGAATTAAAATGTTTTCCACTAATAGCCTGAATCTCTGATGACCTTGAGGGGGGAATAGAGGAGAAGGGGCTGTGCCAGAGCATCCGTAAGGGGGGCATTATGCAAATGGAGAAATTAGTCAGAAACAGCCTGAAGGGAAAAGTGGAAATTGAAATCTGAGGACCAGCATGGAGATCACTGCTGAAAAACTTATTATAGACTCACAGCATTGCTGCAGCCACCTGAGCAGAAGGGAAGGAGGCAAAAAGGCAAAAGACACAGCAGTCAGGGAACACACAAGCTCCAGAAATTTGATTAAGCTTAAAAAAAATGTTAAACTAAACCATGCCAGTGGCTGTGGAAGAGGTGTCTCTTCACCCCCTCCCTCCTGTCCTCCCAGAAAAGGGGTCCCTCTCCCAACCAGGACCCCCAGCCCTACTGCAGAGCCCTGTAATGGTCCTCATCTCAGAGGAAATACTCAGAAATGCAAAGGAGGGTAGGAGGGGCAAAGGAGGAATAGCTTCAAGTCCTGGCCTGGAAACATGTCTAGCCCAGAAAGGAGAAGGGAGCCTGGCAGGTCACAGCTCTAGGAGGCGATGCAAAGGGCAGCAAGTGCAGAGACCATCTGTGCCTGTGCAAAGGGGCGATGGGGAGGTGAGATTTCTGGTGGCTGCTGAGGGAGGATTTGGGGTTCTCTGAGAAAGAGGTGGAGGAGGGTCAATTAAACAGTGATATCTTACAAGGGTATACACCACAACCTGCTGTCCTTCCCCGTATCCTTTTTAAAAAATAATCACAAGAGGTGCTGAAGAGTCCCATGACATATCAGAATAACTCCTCTATTCATGAATAATGTGTTCTCCCTAATTAGGATATCTCTTTGCAACTGAGTTCCCCACCAGCTGGCTGCGGATGCCTGTCCCTGTGCTGTCCAGCACCCCCAGCACAGATGTGGTCCTGCAACCCTGGCCCCAGCAACCCCGTCCCATTGCCCTCCTGCCCACTGCTCCCTAAATGACCATATCCTGGCCCAGTCCCCCCACCAATACTCCCAGCCATTGTCCTAAGGCAGTGACACCAAGAAACAGACACAGAAAGTCACCAGAAAGCTCATTCACTTCCCATCTCCCCAAATCTGTGCCCAAACACCCCTCTTTTGCCTCATACGCTGGATTTTGGGTTGCAAGAAGTATCATGACCAGGTGTCCCAGATGCCCTCCCTGCTGTGAGGACAAGACCTTGGGGACCAAGCCAGACCCACTCCCTGGGTTGGTTGAACATGCCCTCTATTCCTCCCCTGCCTTGGAGATGCTCCTCACTCAGCCAGGAGTTCAGAACAGCAGTGTCTGAGGTGCACTGGGATTTGGTTTCTTTTGCCAGCAGCAGAAAACACGCTCTTCCATCTTGGGCTTCTTCTGTCAAGGTGAGCACTTCCCAGCAGGCCTTTCTCTTCAGAAACAGCTAACGACAGGGTGGAGTCTGTGCCAAGGGTGGAGGCGGCCTTTGAATCCTGCCTCCTTCTGGGATACATCCAAGAAGAAAGCTACTAAGGGAAAAACCACCAGCACCTCAGCACAGATCTGAGCAACCAACGCATCTGAGCTGCTGTCTGCTTCCCCCAGCTCTGCTCACACTGCTCACCCCTTGGCAAGTGCTGTGGCATGCCAGAATGGGGCCACTGGCTACAAATGGGGCCTGGGGAGTGCTAACAAGGGATGCTGGGATGGGAGCATACTGGATCTTGCTCCTCTTTCCTCAGGGATGAGGCGATAGAATGGAGGAGAAGGGGAAAGAAGCTGGTGCGGTTTGTGGGGGAGACAAGACCCCTGTGGGACCCTGTCCCCAGACACTGGTCCTCCCAGCCTCCTCACCTGCTCTCCTTGGGGTCAGCCCCAAGGTGGGTTATGTGGAAACCACAAGGGCTGGACATGAGGTTATCCTTCCTGCTGCACTCCCTGCACCTTCACTGCCTGGGAGGACAACGCCCCTTGCAGAGGCAAAGCTACCACCTGCTCTCTGAGCAGCACATGTCAGTGGGATGGGATTGCAACCATGCTGATGGGGCAGAAATGCCTCAATTCTTCCCCCATCTGTCCTCTGGAGGCTGGTGAGAAGAGACACTGGGAAATAAAAGCAGAGTAAGTTCTTTCGCTCACTGAATGGCACAGTCAGTGTTTTCCCTTCACAGTAACCCAGTAAGGAAATAGCTAATTGTCTGAGACAGGGCATCTTCTATTTCTGCCCCCAAAAAATTAAAAATCATTTAGCAGTGCATCTCTTCAGTTAGCTTATCCTTTCCTCTTTGCTTCCTCAAAACAGCCTGCAGTGGAGAGAGCATGGGGAGGCACAGCCTGTGGCAATGCCATCTCTCCTGGGGCTGGCAGGAGAGGATTTTTGCAGAGAAGCCAATTAAGAGCCATTACTCAGGCATCAGCTGCTGGGAAATCAGGAGGCTCATTACCTCTCCTCTCCCTGCAGATGTAGGCACCCGCTCACTCTTCCACAGCCTCCAGTAGCCACAGGTGCAGGAACACACTGCTGGGTTGAGCTGTCCCCAAGGAGCGAGAGGACAAGTGGTGTCAAGACGCAACAGAGCGCTAGGTGGGCACACCTTGCTGGGGATAAGGCAGATGCTGTCCCCATGGCCAGTGGGGAGCCATGGGGCTTGCTGTGATGCCACACATGGGATTGGTTACTGAGGGTGACACACTGGAGGGTGTTGGCATCACCCTCCACTGCTCATCTGTCCCTTTTGGTGCCAAAGTCTATCCTAGCACAGCCCCCTCCCCAGTGTTCCCCTCCTTGTCCCAGCGGTGTCCAGGCATAGTTACATTTGGGCAATACATCTACAAGTGCACTGCTCCCAGCAAAGCACAGGAGCTATCTTGTGAACTGTAACCCTTTTGCCCCCTTGAGGTGCTTTTAAGACCAACAAACCAACTGCCTGTGCAAAATCTGGAGGCAAAGCCACACTTGAGCTAACACATACCAGCTCAGTGCTTGGGCATAATCAACTATTCCGCTGCGCTGCACTGGCCACCTTCTGCACCTGCAAACCCCCTCCCACGGACATCAATTGGGTGCATTAGTGGCAGAGCAGAGCCCTAAATTGCAGGTAGGTGGCAGGCTG